ACGGCTCCGTGTCTACGCCCTATAGCCTACGATCATTTCCTGATAACGAAAATACTGACGGGCTGTCAGGAGAGGGGGAGGAAAAGAGAGACTCTGTGTATTATTCTTATATTATTATATAGAGTCGTTATTAATTTGTTTTAAAGCTCAATAAATAACAAAGAAGACCTTTGACCGGCACTTTTCTAAATTTGTCCGGAAGATTTAAACTTTAACGGACATGTTGACCGGCGGAAAAAAATTGTAACGGAAACTCTGCCGCACGGTCCCCTCGTTCCTTGGAAGAGACGGAGAGGTGGGTGTTTTTCATCTGCTGGTGGACTACCGGGGAGATTTACAGCAGGAGCACACGCTTGCCTCGGGGAGGGAGAAAAAGAGCCAGAGCCCTGGCCCCTGCCTCTCCCCACCTCTGCTGCTAAATCCACCGTGGAGAATAAACAGAAGGGCAACCATGGCAACCATGCATGCTCGTGAAGTCTTCTTCGCTGCTTTTGGTGTATTTTGTGGCGGAAGTACAGCGCCACTTATAGGCCCGGCATATGTACTACAGCGTCTCCAGCGGGTGGAGCAGTCTCGTGTGGACGGACACGTTTCTGGTGCGGATTGCGTGTGGACGGAAGACTTTTTTGATAGATTGTTGCCGTCTCCGTGTGGCTAGGGCCACAGTGTGAGGGTTTGTCTTACAAACTGCTGTCCTCCCACTTCTTGATCTCTTCTGTTTACTCAGACACATTCTCCAGACCGTATGAGGACTTCCTGCTGTCAGCTCCCCTCTGATCACAGCTGCAGGAGAACAGAACAGCCAACGCATCGCTGTTTGTTTCAACAAGAAGTTCACTCTTTCTGGAAACCACAAATGTATCCCGCCCACACATTCCTGACAGGAATTGGAGAACTTCCATAACTTTGTTTTCATTTTTTAAAATTCATTTAAAGTTCAAGCAGCCCAGAAGCAGGAAGCGTCATTTAGTTTAACGCTGTTACTATAATAGCTTCTGTGTTTCTTGATGACCTGCATGTCTGGAGGAGAGGGGGGGTAACAGAGTAACAGGGAATGGGATGCTGTGGGGGGAAGCCACGTGTGGAAAAGCACTCCTGTCAGCCTCCTGGTGGATATCACATTGAACTGCACATGCAGGGTTGGGAGGGTTACTTTAAAAATGTAATTGCTTACAATAACTAGTTACATATCAAGAAATGCGATCAGTAACCTAATCTGAGTATCAAAATATAATTGATTTTGATTTCTTTCCATTACTTTGGGATTACTTCAATATCAAATGCAATGCAAATAAAAACAAGAGAAAATAGCATTAAAATGTTGTATGTAACAATGTAACCTTAGAAAAGAAAATATATTTAATTTAAAAAATGAAGTTAGAGTAATAGTTTACAAATGCTGTTTAAGCTTAATACATTCATTGCAAAAAAAAAGAAATGTATTTAAAATAAAGAAGATTTAAAGTAGCCTAAATATAAACCATAAACAAAATTAATTCAGTATGTCTACCCATTATATCCATCTTCATTTCAAAATGAATTGTAATCCTGCTAATCTCTATTTAAGGCGAGACACGGCAGGTTACATCATTTTTCATGCACTTGTCAATTTTGAGATTTTGTGCTATTTTGATTCCATAACATATTTTTTTTCAGGCTTTGGGAAGAAATAGTACAAAATACACATTTAGGTGTTTATTTTACTATAGTTTGTCTATTTACGTCTGTAGATTTCTCCTAAATTCACCAAAGGTTAGCATTCTAACGTAACATAAAGTACCGCGACCGCTGTTTGCACCATGTAATCAGAGGTATCGTTGGAAAGCTCCGTCTCTACTGAAGCCAGTCCCCAACTCCGGGGACTTCCGGCCGGGGACTTCGGGTGGCAGTATACGCAGTATACGCCGTGAAGTTGTTTGCGGCCTGCCAGTAAACCCAAAGCAGAACTATTAGGCGCTTTCACACCGGAGTACTTTAACACGTACTTTTCCCGTTTAGTTCCGTTAGTGCCTGGAATTTTGCGTTCACACCAAAAAGAGAACTTAGTTCAGAGAACTTTTACCCCCATTTTTAGGGCCTGCTAGAGAGGTGGGACTATCCTGGGGAGAAAAAAGTAACAATTTCTGATTGGCTGGGCGAATTGCAAACCACGCCCCGTAAAACTCTGAAAAGTTTTTTGAAGCCACCATTGTATTTGCTGGCATTAGCATTATTAGCATTAGCATTAGTCCCGCGCACCAAATGAGAGAGACTAACTTATGGCAACACAAAAAAAAACATCTACATACATCTTATAAGAGTATAATACATATGTATAATATCAGTTAAAATAAGTGCTTAAACATAGTTAACATGGCAGGAAAGCAATATATTAGATGTTAAGTACTTTGTCAGGCTTAATATTTATCTGTAGATACAAATTTCACTGTGTGTGCTGTGTGCTCTGCATGTGTGACCATCAAAGAGGGTTTCATACCTCCATATTCATCTTCTATACCCCCAAAGCTTTTTTCTTATTCAAAAGAAGACCTTAACCTAAAGTATTCTTTAATGTTTAAATAAAGCCTTATTAGTTTGTCTGTTTTGCACATCCTCCTATTAATATCTAATAATAAAATTATAAAATGCAATAACGTGCTTTAACCAGTAGGTGTCCCTTTATATCAGCTGTGCACCGTTATGGCGTAAATACAGCCTATCTACCAATTGGATCAAATATAAAAGTCAGCCGAGTTAGTGTTGATACTGCAAGGAGACGTATTGTGTGAAAAGAAATGTAAGATGTTGTTTAATTGCTTATATATTTAAGATCCACGTCAAGTTTTCAGTTTTGGCGGCAGTTCCTGTTTGTCTAGAAGTCTTGTCATCAGGGCTCTATAAATAGAGTTAACTACGGCAGATATGTAATATTTAATGCAGCCGAAACGTGTATTACAATGCCGTTATGTGATGACTTTCAAAGAGAAAAGCAAGCACACTCGGAATAATGTATTATTTAATTTTTTTTAAATGTTTTTGGATTTCACATCGCATAAACACCAAATCCCAGCGTGCATAGCGGAATATCAGTATGAGAAAAACGGCATCATCTGTCCTTTGACCCTCACATCGTACAAGGAAAAACTTCCAGACCACAGTTAATATACACACATTCCTTCACATTTACATTTTAATTTACATTAAAGTATTTCGTGAGGCCTTCTAACATCTTTTTAAATATAACTACGGTTGTAGTTGAAGAGTTTGTAAATTAACATGAACCGAAGCTGTTGCCTGTTGCAATATACAGTCTATGGTTGCTACAGAGGATTGTGGGTAATGTAATGTCTTCGGCCATCCAAAACTCATAGAAAACTACTTGTTTCTCAGAATAGAAGGGGAAAACGTGACAAAAGCATTGTATACACACTAAAACCTATCAATGTCGTTTAATTAACAAGGATAATCTGGTGTTTTTGAGTTGATGAGTAGTGGAGATATCACTGTCAAATCAATCGACAGTAAGGGGAATACTTACTTCCGGGTGTACAATTCTCCGTTATCCAATGGGAATGGACGCTCACATTGCCTTTAACAGCCTCCGACACAAACGAATGCCGTGCTTCCATGAGCGTCAAATCCCGCCGCAGATGGGAATACATTGCAATCAGTTGAAAGCTATTTGCGTCTGTTTATGAAGCTGAAGGAGCCTAGGAGCGTCCCAACAGCACGCCTCGGGACACTGACCAAGCATCGCTCCTGGATGTTTATGGAGTGAGAGTGTGTTGCCAAAACCCAGAATGAGTCAGCATTTTACAACATAAAGTTCCATCGCCTCGAAGTAGAACATTTGTTGTACGTGTTATTGGAGAGATGCCTATATTAAGGTCTATTTTAACAAAGACTTTTGTTTTTAGAAATTCTTCTTTTGTCAGCAGCTTGCAGACAAGGCATTACAAATGAATCGCAAATTAAATACATAATAAACATAAACAGTATGTATGTATTTGCAAAGCCAGTGGCAACAAGACAACAGGTGGGGATATAAAGTGTTCATAAAGTTACATTTTGAAGTGATTGTTTAGATTTGTAAGTGAACCTTTCTCTTAGATAGTCAAAAAAACTTGTTATTAACAATTGAGGGCTGCAGTGCATTACAACATGCACCAGGTTATTTATCATTTTTTCCCCGGGTTTTAGCATTAATCTATTCCATTCTGCTTCACCAGGACTCACATCTCATGTCTTCTATAATTAGTTTCTTATTCATGTATTGTATGAATTGACTATCGGCATTATCCTGCACAATAATTAAGGCATTCTAGCATCCCATAAACCCCTCTGTTTCAGCCCTTTTCCAAAAGTGCTGATTCTGTATCTGTAGCTTCAAATGCATGCGAGTATTGGCTAATGGTTGCACAACCCATAAACACATTGTGACATCACAAAGTGGCTAAAATCTGATCAGCTCATTTTCAGACAGGTTTCTATATAGATGGATCAGGACTTTTTGAGAGAATCTTTTTTTCCTGAAATTTGCAGGATCTCATAACACAGAGGGGAAACATATTAATGTATAAAATACATGACAAAGTGGATTTTGCATAATAGGTGACCTTTAAGCTAATACAGCTATTTGAATTAACCTGAGTGTGATCTCTATAATTATATATATAGAATAATATTAAAATATAATCCCCCCCCTCTTCTCTCTCTCTCTCTCTCTCTCTCTCTCTCTCTCTCTCTCTCTCTCTCTCTCTCTCTCTCTCTCTCTCTCTCTCCTCTCTCTCTCTCTCTCTGTCTCTGTCTCTCTATCACAATGCTACATCCTGCCTTCTCTCTATCTCTCGGCAGACTGTTTTCCTGGAGAAGCGTTGATGTTGTATGTTGGGCATGTAGAAGATGATGCATTGTGTCTCCTTCAGCAGGGGATCCTGTCCTTCCCAGCTGCCGTAGGACGACTATCCACAACGTTTCAGGAGGACCAGACGCCGGAAACTGCCATCAAAGACCCCGCCACCATGGATCTGTCCTTCATGGCAGCGCAGGTAAAACACTCACTCTTCTACTACTTATTTTTATCAGTCTAATTAAAGTGAGCTGAAAATATATGCATTAAATAACATTTTTATAAGATACTCGGCAGAAAAATTGACAGTTATTTTTGACACGTTATTGAAATGTTATTAATGTCCTAGGTGTGATTTTAAAACTGTGACGTAGCGATGATGGCAAATATTAATAAATGTTAGAATAATGGTATTTTTGTATGTTTTTATTACGTGTTAAACCAAAGCGAATTATATTTATATGTTTTACTCCAATGTCATGTAGTTAAAATAAATTGCAAAGTCCCTGTAACATCTACCATTACAACTTTTTCTGTGTATTCTAAACATAGGAAAATACATCTGCATGTATCAATAAAACAATGTAACAGTTTAAACAAAAAAGAACTTTGAGATGGTGTTGAACATTTCAGATTACATTACACGTTATTCCAGTTTGTTTGTATGTCACTGCTTATGAAATGGACGTAGCTCCTATAGCAGGGGCCATATACACAACAAGACACTTCAGAGTTATTTAAACATTTCCATATATATCATATTTTGGGCTGTTTTCATATGTCGTTGTGCCAGTCACTAACAGAGAACGAATGCTGTAAAACCATCCGATCACTGCAGTGTAGCTGTAAATGATCTGCAATAAGATTCATTGTTCACAATGCTGCTAGTGCTAAACAGGAAGAACTAAGACATAAGCTATTGAACCGGACGTGAGACAAGGGGTGGGTCTATATAAGGTGAATTCTCATTATTCCTAACTGTTACCAGAGGAATGTGCTGCAAGAATAATAGGGCCCCTTTAAGTAAAACATTCTGCAGGAATTACCAGGCAGCGTTTTGTAGTCGGGCACATTTTTCAGATCAGAAGTCGCCAGGACGCTCTCTGATTGTGGGATATCATTTCCTGATTCTGCAAGAACACAGTACATTTTTACTTACTTTTCACAGTCAATATACTTAAAGTGATTACAATTTTACAATTGTACTATTTGGTCCCAATTGAAATAGTGAGGTATTTAACTCTACTACGACAGTCGCTAAGAGAAGGAGAGTTTTGAGTGCTTGAGCTGTACTATCATGTGATTACAACGTGAAGTAACTGCCGTGATCAAGGGTTTTAACAAATCTATACTTAACTTAAGCTCATATAAGCGTCTTTGTCTGTCCTGAAAAGCGCTATATTGATTAAATGTATTATTATTACTATATAAATGTAATTTATTACAAGCTAGCAACACAAACATGAAGCAGCACAGAGACAGAGGAGACCCGAGAGTGACGATACGCTTATTTGATCTCTACTGAACATTATCTGTCCTAGTTGTTGGACTTTGGGAGGACGCTATAGGTTGACCTCAGACTTACTCACATTCAGTGAACAGACGACACAAAAAGCCTTGGAGCTGGAACTGTGCCCGTCTTTTTGAGTTGTACCAGAGAACAAGCTTTTTCATGTTTCAGGCGGCCATTATACACATCTTTGTACATTAAGTGTTCAGCCAGGGGGCTCTCTGAAGCAGAACACATGGCTGATGGATTGTTGCATTCATCTTTATATACAACTCCCAACAAGTGAAAACCTAATATTTTACCTTTTCAACGTTTACGTTTTGACTTGAACTTTTCTCAGTCTGAGTCCCACTGACTTTAGTTGGTTTTCTTAACCTAGAAATCCATCTATTGCATTATTATTCAAAGTTGCCGTTGGAAGCAGAAAATGATTTAACATCTAGCAAAGTATTTGAGTATCAATAAGTAGAATGGAGGCAGCAGCCTTTCGAGTAGATGCAGATATTAAAGCGTTTTAGTCATTTGAAAAAAGCCCTCAAATACAGATCAGGCTCAGATATAAGCCAGCAGGAACATTTGTCAAACTTGTCGTAATACTGCAGATCAGCCAGAGTCACAAGTCATAGTGTTGTTGGAATATACAGTTTGGAGATTCAGAGCAGCTCACTCTTCGAACGGCAGAACCGTTTAACAAAACGTTTAGCTAGCTAACTAGGCTAGCTTAATATTATTTGAATATTATTACATATTAATACATATCACATATTATAACAGGCTATAACGTCGCGTGAACCCCATAGAGGTAGACTAAATTCACCATTCAATTGGAAGGTTGCACATTGACTAGCCTATTGGTTAGGCATTTATTTGTAAGGCCTAAAGCTAAGTAACGTATGTTATGCCCTTTTTATAGGTGATTTCAGTTACACTATTTATACATATTAAACACAAATGAAAATGTATATTGCATGGTCTTAGCCTAATATGTAAATAAAGACCAGTGACCTATTTTTCTAGAGAAAGATACAGTGTCAGTGAAAAGCCCCTCTCAGTAAGGCAGATGTGATCCAGCCTTAATACAGAATGACATAAGTTACCTGGAATATTGAAGATGGGACATTTAATGAAGGGGTCTACAAACACTTGGCTTTTTTGGTTAAAATAAACATACAGTAACAGGCACGTGCTTTTGGCCCCCGCTCAGTAAAGTTTCAATCAGAGGGGGGGCTGACCTCTGCTGCCTCGCCTCTCGTCTCTACCTCTGTTTGCAGCAGAGCTTCACAAATATGGCATTTTTAATTATTAAAAAGGATTGGAATAATACAGAAATGGCATGTTTAACACAGATCGGTTTAAAAATCTTACATAAGATATGTATTTTATTGTATTTCCTTTATTTGTATTACTTTTCGTTAAAGCTACATCCTCACTGATAAGAGGCACTAAATGTTATGTTCCACAAAAGTGTTTCTCTCATGTATTTAAACTTACCAATTAGTTGATTCATGTAGAAATATAACACTATGTTTTATAGAACAACCTTTGGATAACCAAGTGCTCCCTGACTGACATAGAACATTCTGTTTTCAGAATATAAAACCATGAAGTGAGCACTCAGCCTCAGTGGACAAACAGCTGCAGGCTCTCACTCTGTTGTAGAAACCAGCGCTTCATTTCTTCATAGGGTGGCCCTGCAGGGGAGGGGACACACAGAGGAGCATTTAAAACCCCTGACTGTCCTCAAACTGATTGTGTGTTGTTCAAAGCAACATCAAGGTGTTCAGCTTGGGCCACAGCTGCCTTGTAAAGAGCACTCTGAGTCCGTATGCATCAGACCCCCGGCAGCGAGAGTGTGTGTGTGTGTGTGTGTGTGTGTGTGCAGTGGCGACTGGTCATTAGGGGCAGGTGGGGCACAGCCCCACCTAGTGTCAGCAGAAAGTATTACAAATAATGATTACAAAAATGCAAAAAATAAAATAAAAAAATATATAAAATATATTTTAAGATCATGTTTAATCATCTGATTCGTCTGTACATTGCTGTTTTAGTCTGTGTTCTTCTAATTAGTGTGTCTACAGTCACAGTGTGTGCCTATTGAGCTGTTTAGAGCCATGTGGGACAAAACCTGATTATGCCCCTTCCTCTCGCTGTGAAGTGAACGGTGACTGTAAAAACTACACTGCGCATGCTCAGAGTATTTTGTAATGAAATGTGTGTGGCAAAAAAATAATGACCAGAGGGGCATGGAGCTACCATCCCCACCATACGTCATCTCAAATCATTCAGAGCTGATTGGCTGTAAGTACGTGTGCCGCGAAAAGTGTGCTGTGTGAAGAGGAGACGAGAGAGCTGCAGGGGCGCGTCCTAAAACCAGGAAGTAAGCACAAAAAAGCAATGAGATTTCTCCAGAGGATTTTAGAAAATAGCTGGAAATAAGATCTGTGGGAAACGTACCTGTTAGATAAATGCACGTTTTGATCAGCCGGATAACATCCACATGTCTACCCTACTTATATAATTTTTTTATCATAAATCTATGGATTAGATTTATGATAGACTTTTGAAACTACAAGAACATAAGGAGGACTTTTACAAAAAAGTAATAGAAATGTTTGTCCAGAAGGATAGGCAAATGGACTTCATCTTCAAGTCAAGGTAAGACCGCCATTTTATTGAAAATGGGATCTTACTAAGAGAGAACAATTCAATATTTAAATGATAAAATGACATTTTTTGGGTATCCTTTTGTTGAACTGTCTGTTTAAAATTAATCGAAGCATCAGACAAAAAAAGCTTTTGAAAATAATATTATATTTTGGTTTAGGTCAAAATATAATATTTGTAAACCTGAAGAGTCAGTGCCAGGGCCTCACCAGCCATGAACCTCACTGCACGTCACTGCAGAAGCTTATATATAGACATCTAAGTTTTTTGTGCCCCACCACTTTTGTACATATAAAAACGCCACTGTGTGTGTGTGTGTGTGTGTGTGTGTGTGTGTGTGTGTGTGTGTGTGTGTGTGTGTGTGTGTGTGTGTGTGTGTGTGTGTGTGTGTGTGTGTGTGTGTGTGTGTGCATGTGTGTGAGTTTGTGTGAGTGTGTGTGTGTGTGTGTGTCTATGTTTTTATGTGTGAGAGTGTGCAGAAGTGAGTGTGTGTATCTGTATGTCTGTGTGCATGTGTGTGTGAGTGTTTGTGTGAGTGTGTGTTTGGATGTGTTTGTGTGTGCGTGCATGTGTGTGTCTGTTTGTCTGTACGTGTGTGTTTGTGTGTGTCTTTGTTTGTGTGTGACAGTGTGCTAGTGTTTTTGTGTCTGTATGTCTCTGTGAGTCTATGTCTGTGTGTGTGTGTGTATGAGTGCATGAATGTGTGTTTGTGTGTGTGTGTTTGGATGTGCATTTGTGTGTGCGTGCATGTGTGTGGATGTGTGTGGACGTGTGTGTCTGTGCATGTGTGTCTGTGTGTGAGTGTGTGTGTCTGTGTGTTTGTGTGTGTCTGTTTGTCTGTACGTGTGTGTTTGTGTGTGTCTTTGTTTGTGTGTGACAGTGTGCTAGTGTTTTGTGTCTGTATGTCTCTGTGAGTCTATGTCTGTGTGTGTGTGTATGAGTGCATGAATGTGTGTTTGTGTGTGTGTGTTTGGATGTGCATTTGTGTGTGCGTGCATGTGTGTGGATGTGTGTGGATGTGTGTGTCTGTGCGTGTGTGTGTCTGTGTGTGAGTGTGTGTGTCTGTGTGTTTGTGTGTGTGTCTGAGTTTTTTATGTGTGTGTGGATGGATGTGTGTGTGGATGGGTGTATTTGACATCACTTATGACATCCTCACTTACGAGTTGTCAAATGACATCACAGCTTGGCTTTGAAGACTCTGGAGGTCATAGCAGGCTCTAATGGGGCTTTCACACCAACGCGGTTCCAGGGCCGGTTCGGAGCTAGAGCCTGAAAAGCTCCGGAATCCGGTTCGTTTCAAGCACCAAGAAATTGTCGGTCTAGAAGCAAGAACCGCATACGCCACGCTTACGTCGGAGGGGGGCGAGATTAACCTGAGATAACAGTTAAAGGCGAGTACAGCAAATAAAAGTTGTAACAAGCAGTAGCGCTGAGCAAAGTGACTAGAACGCAACCACACACTTGTAAAAAAAAAACACACTTTATAAAGTCAGGCAACACTAACCAGGCTTCGTGTGATTCTGTTTATTTGTACCTTACTTTGACCATCCGTTCGCTGTTATTGATCATTGTGGAGAGCAGGCAGACGTTTTGGTTGTTATTATAGCAGCTATCGGATGGAATCAATACATGGGCTGCACAGGTTGTCATGTCCGACTATCACAAGTAGAATCATAATGAAAAATACGCCGGTAAAATGTGCCTGTAGAAAACGGCTTATGCCACAATAGGATAGCAACAACAAGTAGTCAAGATATTCACTTTAGCTTCGGTTGCTATGCTAACATCACCCATTTTATACCAGAGAAACTTTCATAACAGCGTTGTGATGCCAAACAGCGTCAATTCAGACTGACACACATTCACTTATGGGGAATTGGGGATATGTATCAGCTGCTTGTGTGGCAGTCAGTCAGTGAATACTTTACAGCGGCCGCTGCCGTGTGAGCTAACCCGGAGCTAACGGGAGAATAAACTCCCGTTGAAGAGCAGCCAGCACTGCAGCGGTCGGTAAATGCCGCTGAAACACATTAATAAACAATGAACCACGGCACTCTGGAGAAAAGTATAAGGTTGGAGAAGTCGTTATTTAATTTAATCTGGCTTCGTATGATTAAAAGCAACACGATCATCGACGACCCGACGCAGTCCCCCATTGTTGTTGTAGTGAGCGCCGTTGGGGAGAAAATCAGCTTCGTAAACGGTGACGTCATGACACAGCAGCGGCAGCACCAGTCGGGCTCTGGGCGGTATGAACAAAACGGGGGCTGAAAATAAAAACCGGTTCCGAACCAGAAAAGCTCAAGCACGGAGCTAGAACGGGAACCGCGTTGGTGTGAAAGCCCCATAAGTGAATCAGTCCAGTCCAGAGCGGTGAGAGGTTCAGGTATTCAGTCGGTCCAGACACACTCTGCACTTCACAGACAGAAATCATCTTCCAAAGACACTCTTTACCTACACACAACACAAGTCTCTACACTGTGCCATGGAGTCCAGTGATAAGAAAACTCAACTTTGCAGTGGTTACAAATAACTCTGGTTCTATCAACTCCGACATCTGAAGAGATGTAAAATGTCCATGTCAGAGTTCGGTACCTTTCTCCACGTTTCTGTCCCCGCCACTTCGTTTCTGTTTCGGTTCATGTGAGCGCTGCAGCAGTCTTAGACCCGCCCCAAATGCTCTCATTGGTTAAAACGCATGATACGCCCATTCTAAGCCAATACTGCTTTCATTGCGCCCCTCCTGGGACCCATGGTTTGTCACATGTGTATTCAGAGCCAGTGAGCAACGAACTTTCAAAATAATAATAATAATTAAAAAAACTGTTGGTGTTTATTAATGAACGCGATAATAACACGTTAAGTTGCCCAGCCCTAATTTGTATATTTGTATTCTTTGGGATGGTGAGAAACAGCATTTAGATATCCCCTGTATGTATCAGGAGGAATTGACAATTAAGTTAACTTTGACTTTGATTATGGCTAAACAGTTTATTATTGAAAATTCCGACTATTTTTGATTACCATAAACTCTTTGAGGGACATGCACGTGAGCTTGGACTTCATCATAATAGACACCAAACGTAAAGACTTGGGCAAAGACTTGACTGTTAGGAGATTATTGTTGTATTTATTTTGCAAATACTAGAAGTCCTTCAAGGTGAGATAATCCAAAACACACATAGTGTTTAACAATCTTAGAAACCAAGTTATAAGGAAAAGGTACATTCTAAAACTATTAATAGAACACTTATATATTAATAGAACACTAAGATTAATAATAGAAACGATTAACGGCCCTATAAATGAACTTTAAATGTGTCTTTTACCGTAAAATAGGCAACCTTTCGTTGTTCCTTGTGAGGAGATGTCAAGCAGGTTTGACAGAATATTCAAGATAAAGGCTGGCCAGGATTAGAGTTTTTGCAGTTGTTACAGTAGCCAAGTTAAATCTTAGGAAAGCACCAGACATAAAAATGTCATTGTCAACGGTTTGTGTTAAATATAAAATACAAGCTCCTGGCTCAGTAAGGGAAAGGAGTGTTTAGATAGTTAACTTAGTCTAAATGATCTCAGTAGCTCTCAAACGGTTTGGTCACGATTTATGTAAACAAGTATTTCCAAGGCACACCTTATGACATATTGTTTTTGCTCTGATTATTATTATTATTAGGGCCTGAGCTCGACAGAGTTAACGTTTTTAAACCTTTCTGAACATTTGAAAAGCAGCTTTATCATATTCTATAAAGTCGCAGTCGAGTTTGTAACTGCCTTGTTCTTTTTCTTTGGGCCCATAGATTCCAATGATGACGGGGGTCTTCATGGACTCATCTCCTAATGATGACTACAGCACGGACCACTCTCTGTTCACTTCTTCTTCCAGCGTCCACGCTGCCTCCATGGCAGCTGAAAGCCATCCTGAGGAACCCCCCCAGTCCATGTCCAGGGACGCCATTTGGCTCTGGATAGCCATCACTGCCACCATTGGGAACATTGTAGTCCTGGGTGTAGTGTATGCGTTCACATTCTGAAATGAGTACTCTGGGCAGTATGTATGAATATATTTTATGACTAGACATGAGCTGTGATGCGCTTTGGGGGCGATCTGCAAGTGGATGACTCAGACATTGGAATTTCATTTAGTCACTAAAATACACATCAGCAAAACTAACCGGAAGTTGCAAAGCACTTGAGCCATAAATAAATGAACTTCTGCCAGCGAAGCGTTGTGAAAAGTGGAAAAAAGTGGTAATAGCAGACAGAATGTACAAATGTCTTCTTTCCTGGTTAAGTTTATGTGCTTCAAAGTAAATGTGTATATTACTGAGTGTGTGTGTGCTGGCTGTGTAAGACTTTGGCACAGTGCCCAGCAGAAGACTAGCAGAGACAGGTTGTGATTGATTTTTTTCCCTTTTTCATTGGAAACAATTTTTATTGATAAACGGTTTTGAGGACAAATGTTTTAACTTGGAAAGCCCTCTTTGAAGTCCTGTGTAATTATTGAGTGTTTTTACTGTTAACAATGTCTGTAAAAATGTTTTATAATAATAATAATAATACGTTTATTTATTATAGCACCTTTCACAGAAATATAATTCACAAAGTGCTTCACAAGTAAGAACAAAAGTTAAAATGAAGACCACAGAAACATGAATACAATAGCCACATGAGGCAGAAATGTAAGGTCAACATAAAAACAAAACAGAGACCACGTGGAGTCCTGAAAGGAACACACATAATAACAGAACACATCACACACATTTCAAATAGAAATAAAAGCCAATGTAAAAAGATAGGTCTTCAGTAGTTTTTTAAAAGCTTCTACAGAGACTGCAGAGCGGATGACTATAGGGAGAGAGTTCCACAGTGTTGGAGCATCACCTGAAAGGCACGGTCACCTTTCGTTTTTAACCCTGGTGTTATGTTCACATTTCGCACCCTTTGGTAATGTTCGGGTCAAATTGACCCGGGACATATTTCAGGGTTTAATGAAAATACAGAACTAAATTCAACATGCACAATTCCTTATATATATTGTCTTTAACTCATTCCCCAACAATATAAATGAAATATATGATTAGTTTTTGAAAATACTCTTTGCTAGATCAAATTTAACAATGGAAGTGTCCATCGTTTTTTGTGATAAAAATGTAATTTATGTTAAAAAAAAATACACTGTGATAAAAACGAGGTTTACATTTTGCTCATGCTTTTCTAGGACAAATGTAAATGAAAAATGTTTTCATTAATGTTTATTATTTTTAATCTGTCATATAATAATCAAAGCCCTGAAGGAAATAAAGCAATTTAACAGCAATTGAAACACAAGAACCACACATCCAAAAGTATTTGGATGTGAAATATATAGAGATGATGAAACATCCATATAAATGACATAGAACAGATATAAACACAAAGCAAATAAAAACAATTAACAGTCACTATTCATAAAATACAGTATATCCGAAAAATATATTGATGAAGTGACGCTGCAGAACATCATGTGAGTCAATGGGCAAGTCCGTTTAGGAAACACATGATGTACAGAACTTCTTTGTGTGTATAGCACAGATGTACTTGTTGCAGTTGCTGCATGTAGTCTGTGTCTTGGAGTCCTTTGAGGGTCCACAGACCTCACAGCGCTTCCTTTTGCCGGCACAGGGTGCAATCTAGAACAGTAAAATATGTATTAGTTCAGAAATTGTTTTCACCACATCTCCTAACACTGGAAAACACACACACACACACACACACACACACACACACACACACACACACACACACACACACACACACACACACACACACACACACACACACACACACACACACACAGGTTGTGGTTGTGTTGGCCGTGCAGGTTTAGCAGCAGGAGTTGCCACCATCTTCCTCAATATAGCAACAGAGGCTGGGTTCCTGGGCATGTGTTGTCTTCGCTGCATGTGAGGTGTCACCAGTGCCTTGCCAAGCTCCTCCAGAAAAATGCGTCTTCTTTGGAGCTTCTTTTGGTTCCATTCTGGGTTTATTGCCATCCAAAGTGCAAAGGCATTGTAAGCAGAGACATCCAGGATGTTGTAGAATATCACAAGTGGCCACCTCAAGGTCCTTCTAATGTGAGGTTATGTCTCTGTTTAGTCCCTCTAAAACATCTGTCATGGCAGAGCTTTAACCCAGGTAAGGCAAGTTTTGTAGACCGAGAGCGTTGATCGATTATTTGGCTATTTATTTACATAAATTTGTATGTTGCCGTTTATTGTGCACCCACTGAAAAACTGTCCAGCATCAGTAGAATGGCTTACCTGGTTACTTGTATAGGTTGAGGTTGTTCTAGGCTGTTGCTTGGCGTGGCGAGAATATTGCTCCACTTTCTCCGGTCCCCGAGATTCGGCTTCCAGCAGCTCTGGAGAGAGCTTTCGCACCTGTAGCTACTAACGCAGCGTCCACACGGCAGCGTGCGTTGAAGCTTGCCGGCGGGCGTGTCTGAAACTCGACCAACAACCAATCACATGAATCTCCCGCCCCGGACACACAAGCACGCGGTTTGATTGGTTGGAGCTTGTACTGGCATATTATTTGATTGGCTGACGCTTCCGTCGAAGCTTCAAAAGTTGAGCAACTTTTGAAGCGAGCAGAGTTTCAGTTTCAGTTTGTTTCGCCGGTCAAGATGTCCGTTAAAGTTTAAATCTTCCGGACAAAATTAGAAAAGTGCCGGTCAAAGGTCTTCTTTGTTATTTATTGAGCTTTAAAACAAATGAATAACAACTCTATATAATAAAACACGAGGACAGAAATCTCTTTTTCTCCCCCTCTTCTGACAGCCCAGCAGCTGATCAGAGCACGTCTCCCCTCTCCTGCAGGGGGGCGTGGTCAGCAGAATCAGACCCGTAGACAGCAAACAGCACATAGAGCGAAATGAGGTATGGCTAAAATGCATGATCTGTTTGGTATTTTGAAAACAGAAACGTATAAATATACCTTATATAGGTATGGCCCTACAATATATCATTTAAATATAGCATGATAGGTTTCCTTTAAGTAATATCATACATTAACCCCATTATAGCAGATGCCACATTGAATGGATGAACACACATTATGCATCAATAATTAAAACGGAGTATTTCTAAATATAAGTTGTAAAAATACTTATATAATAATAATGTTAATAATAATAATACATTATATTTATATAGCGCTTTTCTACAACTCAAAGATGCTTTACAGTATGAGGGAGGGTAGACAAACAATGACAGGCAAAACAAATAAAGTAAACAGAAAAGGCAGTCAAGAGGAAGTTGATTGAGAAAGGGGGAGAGGGGGCTTACGGCCCGTCCACACGGCGGCGTGCGTTGAAGCTTCAACGCTTCTGCCCATTCACTTTGAATGGGGTGACGTCACGCTTTGCCGAACTGCATTGTGGGAGCGTTGCTTCGCTTTGCTTCGCGTTGCGGTGGGAGACAGGAAGCCAGTGAAAGTCTTTGAGGACTGGGGTGATGTGATGCCATGATTTGGTATGCCCCCGGGGGCTCCCGGGCTTAACAGGTTAAAGTCAGTTATCAATGATATAGCTTTAGTTGTCTAGCAACAGTAACTAAGCAACTGGTGGGGTTGAATGCAAACAAGTGGGCATTATTTGAATGCTTTTATCAAGTTGCAGATCCCGTTCAAAGATATCATGAGTGTATGTCTGCAGGACATCAGCCTCGTATCCAAAGCAACATCTGCAGGACGAGACACATATCATTCAAAAGTAACAGAAGAAAGATTTCCCAAATACCACACACAGCAAATCCGGGCCTTGAAAGGGAAGTTGAGACTCGAGGAGCTACAGCACGCATACAAGATGAACAGTGGGGTGAATATGCAGCGTACCGTCCTCCCATCCACCCAAAAAACGGAAGTACCTGCAGGACAATGTCTTCCCCCAAGTAGGGTAGAGTCTTCTGAATATAATACGAACGAAACAGAAGAAAGGTTCCTCAGATCACAAAAATCACAAACACAGGCCGACAATGCGCAGTTGAGACTCGAGCAGCTACAGCTCGCTTATAAGACGAATAGTGGATCAAATCTGCTGCGTACCGTCCACCCATCCATTAAAACCCCGGAAATACCTGCAGGACGATCCCTTCCCCCAACTGGGGTAGATTATTCCCAATATTGTAGGAAAGGAACAGAAGAAAGGTTGCCCAATTTCCAAACACCCAAAATGCAGGCCGCCAAAGACCAGTTGAGACTTGAGCAGCTACAGCTCGCTTACAAGACGAACAGTGGGTCAAATCTGCAGCGTACCCTCCTCCCATCCATTAAAACTGCGGAAATACCTGTAGGACGATCCCTTTCACCAACTGGGGTAGAGTCTTCCCAATATTGTACGAAAGGAATAGAAAGAAGGTTGCCCAATTTCTATACGGCTCAAATGAGGGCCACCAAAGACCAGTTGAGACTCGAGCAGCTACAGTTTGCTTACAAGACGAACAGTGGGTCAAATCTGCTGGGTACCGTCCTCCCATCCATTAAAACCCCGGAAACACCTGCAGGACGATCCTTTCTCCCAACTGGGGTAGAGTCTTCCCAATATCGTAGGAAAGGAACAGAAGAAAGGTTGCCCAATTTCCAAACACCGAAAATGAAGTCTGCTAAAGACCAGTTGAGACTCGAGCAGCTACAGCTCGCTTACAAGAGGAACAGTGGGTCAAATCTTCAGCGTACCGTCCTCCCATCCATTAAATCCCCGGAAATACCTGCAGGACGACCCCTTTCACCAACTGGGTTTGAGTCTTCTCAATATCGTAGGAAAGGAACAGAAAAAAGGTTGCCCAATTTGCACACAACCCAAATGAGGGCCACCAAACGACTTGAGCAGCTACAGCTTGTGTATAATACGAACAGTGGGTAAAATCTGCAGCGTACCGTCCTCCCATCCATTACAATCTTCGACCTCCATACTCCCCAACCCACCCCTTTTACCCCCAAGTTCATTATAGTCTTCGCGTATGGGTTTCCTCCAGGTGGTCTGGTTTTGTCCCGC